ACTCTCATCAAACAAATAATGCTTAATCATATATTTCTTTAAAAAGTTCTTTCCTTTATCTGTTCCAGTGTAGTTGTCTTGATTGATAAATAATGAAAGCCCCAAAACTGAAAGCAACCAAAATGTGCTTTGATAGGTGAACAAAGAAATAAACTATGGTACATCCATATGGTAAATCAGACATTTCTCTAGGTCGTATAGCCCTGGTGTACAAGTTGCCGTACCACGGTCACTTTTGGTTGTTGTGAGGCTGAACACTGTGATACTGATGTGTCAAATGCGTTAATGGTTGACTACCCAATGCAGACAGAGAGTGGGGTGGAGCTCCCGGATGAAAACAAGCTTTGAAGGAGGAGTGGCATCCACTTCCATAATAGCTTGCCTCCAGAAACTCTGTGAACCTGGAGAGAGGATGAAAGGCACCCAAGTGTCGAGGACTCTCCTTCTTAGGGTCACTGTGAGTCGCCTGCGACTCGACGGCACTTAACAACAGCAACAACAACAACAACATCCAGTTAATGGGGTGTTGTTGTATTCAGCAGTAAAAGAATTAAGCTATCAATTCACAAGAAAACATGGTATAAATATCTGTGTGGTACTGGAATGGTGAGGTGGAGTTTTTCTCTCAATATGGCTTTTCTAGTATAGATATGATTGATTATGTGGAGGGGCAGGACAATGAGAGTGAGGTGTGTTGGCCTATACACAAGGGACTGGCTATCTACCATTCCACAAGTGAATTGGCTAGTCTAATAAATTGAACATATAGCTGCAGAGAATAGGAATTCTTCTCTCATAAGAAATAATTCTTCCTGCACCAGAAGAGATGAAATTCTTTGCCTAGACAGACAGGAGCAACCTTTCCACAAACCAGTGAAATGTAGGACCTGCTTCAGGATGGCACTAGCAGCAACAGCTGAACTAGAGAATTGGATATGAGATGGGACATTGGGGTGAGGGAAGCCAATGTTGGCAGGACTGAGAACTTTGCTGGACAATTAGAGCCATGAGCTTTGAGGTTGAGGTTCTTATATGCACAGCTTGGGAGCTGTCTTGACTATATTTTGTTATTTATCTTAATTATACCCTTTTAACTCTCCCAATATGGTTCTGTGTGGTCTGTGAGATATCATATTGGATTTTGGACCTAGTCAAGCAGTAAGATTGGTGTTGAGATGAGTATAGAGAAGCAAGGGAGCTTGGGGGCTATGTATGACCTCAAGGTTTTGTGTTATTGATGCTGTGGGTGGGGATAGTTTCCCTTTTTGACTTTGATAAAGGTCAGATATGGCATTTTTCACATGGCCCTTGCTCTTTTTACAGGTGGACACAGGACCTTAAGCATTTGTTAAACCTCATAGACTTTTACAATA